TTATAATTATTTTATATTTAATTATTTTGTATTTTTATTAATCTTACTTTTTGATATACCGTATATTATTTAAAAAATTGATTATTATTTTTAGTTAAATATTATTGTTGAATCCATAGAGAATAAAATTTCAATAAGATAATAATTTTGTAGAAAATGAAAAAATGAAATATTATCAAATCTGTTTCAATTCTGCATCAAATTCTGTTTCAATTTTTAAAATATTCTATCTATATAGAATGTTAATATATTATATTAAATAAAACAAAATGGAAACAGAATGGAATAATAATGTAACGAAGATAGAACCGCACTCAACGCAAACTTAATTTTCTTAATAATTTACTTATCTAATAGATATTTAAAAATTATATTTTAATCGACATTTGTATTCATTTTGATTTTTAGAATTAATTTTTTGTTTTTGTTGATAAAACTTGCAATTTCGATAGATATAAATTTCATAATAATTTTTAAAGTTAAAAGTTTCAAAGTCATTTCACACCATTATATTTGAAATATTATATTTTAACATCTACATAATATACAAAAAAATATATAATATGATAATGATATAATAAATAATATTCACTTATATATAAAAAATCCAATAATGAATTCGAAAAAAAAATAAAAATAATCCTAAGAAATTAAAAGAAATATTTTTTGCAATTAATGCTTCGATATTAAATTATTTAAATTGATATTAAATTTGATATTATTAAATTATTTAAATAATATATAAAACATTTTTTGTATTATCACAATTAGAAGAAAAGTTTAGATAACATTATTTAAATAAACATTTTAAAATAAATATTTAAAATACTTATGATCGTATTTTACATTTCAAATTATATTTCGAATATCAAATTTTTATTAATAAAATTAAATGGCACAACTATCATAAAAATAAATGTGCATTTTATGACCATCGATTATTCGAATTTCAATCATTCAAATGAATGATTATAGGAACACAGAGTGAATTACATAATTATATATATATTTAACTATTTTTAAGTAATTTAAATTACTTACGTACATAATAAATAACTTATTTAAATTAACAATATTTATATTCTGAGATATATAATTGAAATAATATTTAAAAGCATATCCATAATCAAATGGATCAATATTTAAAAAACAATATTCAAATCTAAAAAATTGATTTTATGTATTTTTTATTTTTTTTTTTACATAAACCATATTTGAAAATTATCTAATTTAAATTATTTTAGTTATTATCTAGTTTTAGTTATTAGTAATTATCTAGTTATTTTATAACGAATTCACAAATTTAGTTCTTCCTGATTATTCAATTATTTGTACAAACAGATTTGTTTCCTAATTAGTTAGGATATTTTTTTAAAATAAAAAATTAAATTGGATAGTTATATTATTATAGAAAGATTCTATCAAATATTGATCAAAACCAATTTTCATTTTCAGTAGATATTAAATTTTTTTTTAATGAATATAACAATATTTTATAATATAAACAATAATTTCATAGTTGAAAGATACTTAATATTAACATAACATTAACATATTAATATTACATATATAAATTTTTTATTAGAAGATTTAAGATCATTTGTTAAAATCAATATAATATATTTATTAAAAGTTTTAAAAAAAATATGATATCTGTTGATAACTGAAGTTAAATCAAATGTTTACTTAATCTTTTATTTGTATTCTCCCATTGAAAAGTGAGAAAAATTTCGAAATAAAAATACAATACATTCAATATAAAGATTAAATGTAGATTAGTAACTTAATTAAAAAAATATTAATTATTTTACTTATTATAGATCAAGAAAATAATTATTTTATTTGCAATATTTTTAAAATTAAAATTCAATAAAAATTTTCTATTTTAATCTAATTGTCTTTTTTTATTTGCTTTATTAATCATTTAAATTAATTTATTAATTAAATTGATTAGTTGATACTGGATAGCAATTTTTTCTACAAATAATAATATTTTTATTTTTATGAATCTTCAATTTTTATTATAATTACATAAAATTATATATTATAAATTACACAAAAATGATTTTCTTTTTATAAATTTTTATTTATAATACAAATTTTTATCTAAGATTTATATAAATATTTTTTAAAAATTTAATTTTTATCAATATTAACTTATAACAAAAAACTTAAAACTATAGTTGATACTATATTAATGAAACAACAATATATCACACTATAATATAAAATTTATATTGAAAACTATAATATATAATATCTATCATATTACATATATTCGTAAAAGAAAAAATTTTTCTTAAATTTAATAATTCTTTGATTTTATATTAAATTTATCTATAAAAATTTATTACTTTTAAAATAATAAATTAAATAAATAAATAATAAAAGGAATAAAACATTTTTCGATTCTATTGCTCTCTGAATTTTATATAAAAATTATATTCTTTTCAAATTCTAATTTTATTTAGGTTTTTTAGAATTGATTTGTCTACTCTCATTTTCGATCTAAATAAAATTTTATATTAAAAAAAAATTGATTAATTAAGTTTTATCTACATTTATCTGTTTATTTTCATTCTGATCAAACTATATTTTAAATAACGATTTTTTGAATTTCTTAATTTTAAAAACTTTTTTAGAGAAAAAATAGATATAAATGTAAATTTCTTTAAATTAGAAAAAATATATTTTTCATAAAAATTACAGTAATGAAATAGTATAATATAACAAACAATGAAAATATACATAATTTTTTAAATAATATAATTAGTTTTGTATATACGTTAGTTATCAAGTATATACAAATAATAAGTACAAATAAAATTATTTCTTTGGAATGTATAATTGTTACTAATTATAAAGACTCATCCACAAGTGGAAACAACAAGCATTTACAAAACCTTCTATTAAATTGTAAGTATCTTCTATACAACGTGGAGCATTAATCGCTTCCTCTGATTTACAATAAACTGCGTATAAATCCTAAAAAATAAATAAAAATCAATTAAAAATTTTAATCATATAAATTTGTTACTTAATATAATAAATTTAATTTTTCAATAAAATTTTTTCTAATATATTTATAATATACAAAATACATCATGTAAGTTATTATATATTCATTTTTTGAATAAATAGAATATTTCTTTTTTGAAACTTCCATGATTACTAAATATATGAATTTTTATATTTTTTGTATTTTTGATTTTATATACTATATGTGCAAAATTTATAATATATATATAATATATAAAAATATAATGTTATTAAGAAAATAAAAAAAAATGTTTTAATATTTTCTATCAATTATCAAATATAAAATTATGTATTTTTAAATAGAATAATTTATTATTTGTACATAATTTTTAATTTCAATATAATAATTTATTTAAGCTAGGATAGATAACTATTCTAAAATTTATCAAAAATATTTTGAATAACTGTTACAAAATTTAGAATTTCTAACTTCAAATCTCTACATGCATATATATTTAAGATTTCTTATTCCTTATTACTTTGCTTCTATATTTCTAATATTTCATTTTTTTAATAAAAAATAATTTTTTATTAAGTTTATTATTTGACAATCATGAATAAATTACCTAATCTTATAAATAAAAATAACTTTGAAAGTATAAATTTTTTATATAAAATAATTTATAATATTTAAAGATATTTCATATAAAAAAATATATTCATATATTTCATATTAATAGAAATATATTCTTTCAATCATAAAAGTTCCAAGAAATTATCATTATTTCATTAATAAATATTTTTTATATTTTTTTATACATATATTATTATATTTTTATATAATTATAAAAATTGGATTTTATATTTCATTAAGTACATATAATCTAAATTATTAAATATATATAATTTAAACTATTAAGAATTATTAAACATAATCTGTTTAAATTATATTAGAATTTAATATAATTTTAAAAAATGATAAATTTTAATAATTCATTTGTTTTAAATATTAATTTATAAGATATGATTCTCTCGTATAGAACTACTGCTTGGGTATATTATAAAAGTATAAACTAATAAAATTTAATTAATAAATGTAATTTAAATTTTTATACATATAAATAATTTTTATTTTATATTTTTGAATTTATATTAATATAGGAAAATATTATTTTTGCCATGATTTCATGATCATTCTGTATAACATTTATAAATAATATTAATATAAAAAATGATACAAACCCCTCGTGAAGCATGTAAATCTATAGTCAACATCATAAAAACTTGAAAAAAATTTGGATGCAATATAAGCAGATGACTAATATTTCCATCTGGTGTGTTAAATTGTTTATGATGTTCTTGATATTTATTTTGTAAAACTTTTGATAAAGCTTGATACCAAGAAACTGGCTGGTTAATAAATGGCTTCAATCTTGGATCCATGTTCGATAAAGGCTCAACATGAGCCAATGAACAGAGTTCAGAGAATTCAATATAATTCATTACAGATTTACCTTCTAATAATTTATTCCAAAGAAGATGTGTTCTACATTCCAATGCTCCACGTTTTATCATATTCATTATATGTATACGAGCTGCATTTGCTTGAGACATTATTGTTTCTTGCATTAACTGTTCATGTGACGAATAATAACCTAATAATTAATTGATTCTTTTCGTATTTGAATCAAGTGTGGAGATGGAGAATTAACTGCGACATTTGGAGGATTTACATTTTGTGTTAATGGAGAATTGGGTACTGGTGGAGGTATTGGAGCACCTGTATTATTACAATTCATACCAAAATTAGCACTGTACAATTTGGTATCATTTTTTTTATCACTTGTATCTTGTTTACAATCTTGGACTGAAGAAGATTCGTTTAAAGTATCCATAACAGGCTCAGTATAAGTGTTAGTAGATTTTTCAATACTATATACTGTACGAAACTTTCCTAATTTATTATTCTCTACTTCTCTTTTTGGATATAATTCTCGTTTGCTTGTTAACATTAAATAGTATTTTAAAGTAATTTCTGTTTTTTCTATTTGTGAAGATTGTTCTAAATGTGATACAATAAGAACAACATCAAAATCATCAGCATATTTTGTATCTTGTGCGTCACAGTAACTAATTAAAGGAGTACTTTTTAAGCTTACTAAAACATATTCACTTTCTTCAGAATCATCAAGATCATTTTTCATTATAAATACACGCATGTTATAAATCTTTTCATGAGATAATAAATAAGAATATAAATTCCGACCGGATATTGCTAAATTGCGAATAGTTATTACATCTAAACAAAAAAAAATATATATATATATATATTCAATTAAAGTATCAAATAATAGCTAAACAATAAAATATATTGATTTAGAATATAAAATATATTATTCACTAAATATGAATTAAAAAATATTTAAAAAAATATAACACAGATCAAAAATAGAAACAATTCTCAATATTAATAAAAGTCATTATATGAAACAAATATATTACCAAACATTATATTCATTTTCATAAATATTATTTCTATTACATATCTATGCACTATCTATACATATTAGTTTTCAAATCTTTGTGAAATTATTGTTTTTATTGAAAGTATTTTAATATATTGTTTTTTTGCATTTTCTTATTTTCCATTTTGTAATTGTTAATATTCAATCAAATAATTTATTTAAAATAATTAAAAAATAAACGTACACATACTTGATATAATTCCACTTACCACTGTATATAAGATTTCTTGCATAATTTGGAGCTTTGCTATAATATTTGTTAAAATCATCAAGAAAATGAATGAGATGATAACCTTGTTGTACTAACCAAGGTCCAGTCCCAGCTATATACGAATGGATACAACGTAAATGAAAATCATATGTAAATGAATGTAGATGCATATTAATTTTGATTTTGTCACATGCATCCACAAAACTTAGCATAAACTGTAACAAAATAAAATTGTATTATTTTTTAATTAAAAAAAAAATAACAAAAACTTAATTATTAAATATCAAATTTAGAATAATTAATATAATAATTTTCAAATATCAAAAAATAAAAAAAAATATTTTTAATTAAATTATAATTATAATGAATTAAAATATAAAAACATAAAATATATAATTATTTATTAAACATAAAATATAGAATTAATGTTTAAATAATTTATAATATAAATTATAATAAATTTTATGATTATATTCAATTTAGTGAATATGAATATTTAAAAAAATAAAAAATTAAGTAACTTACTTGATTCACTAGAGCACTACTTGCTTTTGTCTGTAGTCGACTGCATTCAATAATATGTAATTTAACAATAAAGAAAGGTTGCGATAAATGAATTTCAAATAGTAATACTCCCCCCAAGCATTGATTTTTTTAAAGATAATAAGATTGTTGCTGAATTTGTTCTTCAAAACTGAAAAATATTATAGATGAATAAATTTTTTAATATAGAATAACATTCTACTATATATTCTATAATTCTCTCTCTCTCTCTCTCT